TTCCGGGAGCTGTGGGCGTATGGCCTCTATGGTTCGCACGCCATATTCGGCGTGCATTAGGCCACTCGCCCAGAGCTCCACGGTCGTCCTCCTCCTCGCCTCCCGGGCACGGGAGAGCTCCTCCGGGGGTTTACCGATATGCCTGGAAATTGGGGAGGAGGTAGCTTAGAGCCAGGAGACGGACATAGACTACTATTTTTTTTTTTCGTATTTATGCCTTGAAGAGCTGCTTTTGATTTAACTTACTAATATTGTAAATGCAAATGATTAGATGGATGTGATGTGGTTGGATGGATGGGTGAGCTTACACTAATTAAGTTTTTTATATATCCACGCGGACGGAGTCGCGGGCGGTAGCTAGTATTGTATAAAAACAGTTATGCCAGTGAACATGGTCTCTTAGAAAAACAATCATGGGAATATTTCCTGCGTAGTAAAGGGATTTAAAAAAAACTTAATAAGTAGCCTACGTGTTCTTCTAGATTCAGTTCTACGTCTATACCAAATTTCAAGAAGATCCATGCAGCCGTTAAGGAGATACCCTCATACATTCGCATTTATAATATTAGTAAGATTTGATACAGCAAATGATTCAATAGTAACCAGTATAACACATTGCTCAGTTGATACACGCTCTATTGTTTATATGTTAATAAACAATACCTTAATTACTTAATATTTATAATATAACATAAAGGAATGCAGCTAGAATAGTATTATTATTTTTTACCGTAATTATGAACATAAAAACATGGCTTACTATACCGTTGATACTGTCTTTGGGAAGAAAACAGAAATATGTTTATGCAAATATTTAATCTGTCAAAACTGACGTTAATTTGGTTTGTTAAATGGATGATATTATGTAATAGGGCAGGGTTTTTTTCACTGGTTTGATGCAAAAATAGGAATAATTACACTACAGTTACTGCAGAATTTCATGTCCGTGACTTTTGTATTACATACATAGTTCTAATCTCTGTTTTTTTTTTAAATAGAATGTAAGGGATGACAATATACAACATTGTTAAAGTATCAGGCCTGGAGAGTTCTACGCTTATATACTTAGACGAAGTAATGAAAACTATTATTATTAATTGTAAATTAAACCTTTCATTTCGCGGCAGCTTATTTTTTATTTTATAAATCTTAGTTGAGTAATATTAGTTTTATAAACTTTAGTTAAAGTTGAGGTCACGGTTGCTTGCTTGTATATGAGTAGATGGAATCATAAGTTTTTGTATGTTAATAAAAACTAATATAAATATGAATAATATATAAATAATTTATTTATTCATCTTGTTCACTGAATCACAAGGAAGTGCCTGCGTAACGCGCTTTTCAAATTGGATATCTACACTTCGTGCAATAAGTTTCAAATTTAAATCCAGAATCAAATAAAAATAGAAATTGTTTAAGATAAAAATAGTCAAATCTTTTTATTCGCGATTCCGTTTCCGCGGATTAACAATTCGCGGGAAAAAAATTGTAGGAAAATCTCCGAGTTCGCGCCAAAACATTAGGTAGCAGTTTCGGAACGTGACTACTCCGAAAATAGCAGCAAATAACAAATTCATATTTTTAACATAAGATAAAACTTTCAGACTTTGTTAACGAGATAAAATCAATTAAAAAATAATATTTATCCTTTAAACGAGTATAATTAAAAATACAAAAAGCATTGTTAAGATAAATGCTGCCTAATGTGAATAATTAACATTTCTTGTTGCTAAATATATTACAAGGTTTATATTTATTTTAATTTTGTTGTAACTATGCGCTTCAGAATTTCTCACGAAGTAAAAATTAATTAAAATGCAATCCAACATCTGCTTCGAATCTTCATTTACATACAAAGCTTTTTTCATTTCAGTCTATTGACTTTCAAGTTAGTGACAACATGAATACAAAGGTTATATATACAATAAAAATAATAAACTATTTTTCGCGGACAGATAATTAAAATAAGTGAAATGTAAGGAACTTTCAATTTAAAAATAATTTTTGTTTTTTTTAAACAACAACGACTTTAATATACATATCATAGTTTCTGAGTAGCGACTTCGTCTTTAGTGACAAAAACATTTAGCTTAGAATCACTCCTCATAGCTACTCGAATAAAGAACAGAAAATAATACAAATAATTAAATTATCAAAGTTGTTTTGTTTTCACTATATATATAGAGTGACCTACAAAAACCCGTTTGCTAGCAAGCACTTTATTACAGGATAAAGTGGCATAAACAACGAAGCGACCGCTGAGATATCCGCATTTGCGATGCCTACATTTAATTGAGAGACGAAGAAACGCACACACAATAATATTTTTCCTTCCTATGCATCCCATCCAATGCTAAATTCACCTCTGCTTCCCTTCCTTTTGATGAAAGGGTGGGAAGGAAAGAGAAGCAAAATCTGGCCTACAGCACGCAAATACATCGGACCAAATGCGTTTTGCGTCCACTTGACGCGTGACTTCTGTGTGGTCGTGGTATTTCGTGGAGCCGGCCAATACGTGAAAACATATGGTTTTGTTGCTGGCTGGTAACAAATAGAACTCTATAAAATTTAAAAGAAAAAGTCGATCACTAAAAGTAAAATATTTTGGTAGTGATTGTTAATGGACAGGTGGTTGGAAAAAGTTGTTTAACTTTCAGTAAATTATGTTAGTGAAATCTTCGCTTATTTCAATACAATTATCAAACAGTGAAACAGATCCATTCTTCGCATCGAATGATAATATAAATTATTGTTTTACAATTGAAATTAAATTGTATCTCTGAATTACATTAATTTATGTTGAATTTCTTAAAATAAAGGTCTAGTTCAACTTGAGTAATCGTATAACTTGTCTCTGTGCTTGTAACAAAAAGAGACAAAATAATAGGTGAAATATAAAAAAAAAGAATGGAAATATCCTCCAATTTGCCACGCTATGAGATACTCGGTTCCGCTTCAGTCAGTCCATTCATGTAACATGTGTTCTCTGTATTATTGTTCAATAGTAGAGTCATTAGTAGATATTTGTGATTTCAATTCAGTTATACATTGAAAGAGGGCGCTAATGTGCAGTGTAGTAAATAACATCAACTATAAATACCATGCTCATATCAACTAAATCATTGAACTACTACTTAATTATTATAATTAATGTCTTTCATAGTTACTATGAGCCTACGTTTGTTTCTATGGATATTAAGTGCAGTGACACTTAAAACAATATTGTTGTCTCTGTTTTGTTCAAGACAATGTAAGGGATGCCAATATGTATTAGACAGTGCAGTGAGGTTTTAGACTTAGATTGTGCCGTACATCTTGTTCTCTCGCTTTAGTTATCAAAAGGTTAATATATCTATACAATTATAAAAATTGGACTGTCTGTATGTAACATCGGATAATATGTTTGATATTTCGCAAACATGATGTATCTGCTTGTAACGACATTCCAATTTTTTAATTCTGTTTGTCCCCAAATCGCATTTGTTCTGGGTTATCTTCAAAACGAAGGGCTGATTTTGGCGGGACTATGCGGGAAAGTAGTTATGCAGAGATGCTGGAATATTATAGCCTGTTTTTTTAATCCGCGATGACGAAGTTGCGGGCGACTGCTAGTCTGATATTAAAATAAAAAGTAGACTCCAACTTAGTTGTAAGTTGTATGGTGGCATCGCGTTTGTTGTACTACGTCGCTCTCCGTTACTTAAACAACTTGCAAGTTAAACACAATAATTTTATACAAAATTCAAAACAAGAGCCATGTGTTTATCGGCAGCATTCCTCGATTGTCTTCGACTCGGACCTGAACGGTATTTGTGTTAACACCGTGCTTACGAACGGACGTCAATTAAATATCATTCAATATATTTTATAAAAAAAACATTGTTTAATAATTTTGTTCATCTCGCCAGCAGCATTGTAAGTATTATTTTAAATTTATATCGTAATAATTTAGTTACCAATATTGGCAATGTTTTTTTTTATTTTTCTATTAAATCGCCAAATTTTATGTCAATAAATTTAAATCTATGTAAGATAATGGATAGGTCTACTGAAAACATCCTTTGGACATTAATAGCAATATTCAAACCAAAGAGCAATCAGAATCAAATCAAATGTAATCAAATCTTAAGATTTAATATAAAAATAAACTATTTTATTATTTCATTGCTATGTCTAAAAGTATGGATGGATTGCGTGAAAGACGAAATAAGTTAAATGAGTTAGCAATTACGTTGCTTGCCTTTGATAGCAGAGAAGAGAATGTGCGCGAAAAGGTTAGCACACTTTTCTCTACCTCCCTTCACTGCCAGACCCAATCTCCCCATATTACTTATCGGATAAGGGTAGAAAGGGGAAGAAGTGTAGAATTTGGCTTCCGGAAAATATTCATCTGCATAATCGCTAAATGACTTAAAGTTAACGCCTTTCTTCTGTGTGATTGTGGTATTTCACCAACGTTACCAGTCTGAAACTAAACTATAACACATTTTTGACCGTCTCGAATAACTGCTTTAGACTTTTATGATAGTTTTTATTACATAGAAATATCTGGCAATATCATTAAAGGTCAATATACGATCATATTATTAATAGTTCTTACGTAATACGAGCTTTTCATTGGCCAAGCGCGTTCGAACTTTAATAACATATCCAACCAAAGAACATCTTTGGGTCTTATACAAATATTTCGAACAATCGCTATCGTATATCAATTATATCAAAATTAGTGCGGTATACGCCCGATAGAGGCGCTGCACAAATTTGAATAAAAATTCTGTTGACGATACGATGGCGATTGTTGCAATTATTCTTGCTAGGCCCACTGATTGAAAGAGAAAATTAAAATTATTGCTTAGTTCATATCTGATTAAACTGATTAATGTTAGTGTAAATACATAAAAATTGAAACTCGAGGTTTATGTAAACGTATTAAAAAAGTTAAGGAAATTTGCTTATATTATTTATTAAAATTGGGTAATAAATAAAACTTTAAAAATATTTTTACTTTGTTTGAAATTTAATATCACATTATCATCGACATCAGAGCTAAAATGGAATGTTTGAAAGCATTATATTTTTTTGATGTGCTTAGAATATATCATTGTGAAGTTAAATTGAAATTTTTTCGCAATTCTTCTCGACTACGATAAAAAAAATTTAAAAACTTATAAAACTAATTTATACGTAAATATTATAAGGATTTATAATATTTAAAAATGTTAATATTTGTATTAGTATAGACTAAGGCTTTAAATTAAGCTCTCATATTATTTTACGCATTTATAAAAAACTAAAATTTCAGATATCAAAAATGAACAAGGATAAACGCGCCTACCACAACGATGGATTCGAAATAACCGAAGATTTCGAAAATGTTAAAAGGAATAAAACAAATGAAGTTGAAAAAAAAGACAAACTACGTCGTTCTTTGGTTTGTCATCAAAATAATAAGCTGGAATATCGTAACACAATAGATGGATATATTGATATGATTGTCGCTACAGACTCGGATGATTACGCAGGAGCCGGCTCCATATCTAGTGATGTATTTCGGAATATCAATTCAAGAAAAATTAAAAGAAATGATGATGATAAAATTGAGCCAGACAAGAGAATCCGTCCGATGTCTTCTTCAAGTTCTGATAGTTACTATACATTCAGTGGTCTCGCTTACAAAAGCTTTAACGAAAAGTCAGTGAAGAAATCTTGGACGCGTCAGTCGTTGCGTGATGAAAAGTATGAAGAAAAACTGTAAGTATTTAATAGTTTCTTTCAAATTATTTTATGTCATCATCATCAGCTCGCTATACGTCCCCATCGAGGGGCTCGGAGCCTACCCTAAGTTAAGGGTGATTAGGCCATAGTCAACCACGCTGGCCAAGTGCTGGTTGGTTGACTTCACACATATCTTTGAATTACTTCTATTACTACTTATTATTTTAAGTAATTAAATCTTTTTGATACTGAACATAAAGAGAAGAAAGCTTCTTGTAATTATGTGACTTTATAGATGAAAAATTGAGTTTTAGTTAGATTGTGACCATTGAGTGAAGATTGTGGATCTATTTTTTTTTTATCAAAACATAAGTCATTAATGTGGGACACATCGAGGGCTCCTTTCTAGGGTGAGAAGGACCGGCATTATTTCCCGGTAAGGTACCGTCTCTCTATATTCTATATTATATCGTTCAATATATCTCTCATCCTTATTTATTTAAAAATAAATAATCACAAACGACAGTTATAACTGTTTTTTTAATTGTATTGAGGCTAATATTATTGATGTATCCGATCAATCGATAATTAAGCCTTAAATGACTTTGTTCTCTTTTCTGTAACCATCAAACAACAGATTCTCTTATTTTTTCCATCAGCAGGACAGAGAAGATAGAGAAGAGAAGGGAGTAGCAGAGAGATACGTGACTTCTCTCTTCCTTAATTTTTTCCAATTCTTATCTGCCAGTGATCTAAAAAGACCGCATGTGGTTGAACAGACGTCTGTTATATGATGGACAAAAATAATAAAAAATATTAAAAATAGAAAGCAGGAAATTGATGAATGAATGTGCCAATAATTATACAGCGGAAGTGACAACTAGATTTTGAGGTAAACGGCTAGTTCAAGCACATGGAAGAAATAGGACGTTGATTTTTTAATAAATTCACAATCTTTTTTTGAACTTGTTAATTTATCGTATATCATTATATGCTCTTGAATATTTTGAAACTCATTATAACTACATTTTAGTCCTTATATACCTAACTGTTATATATTTGATTTAAAATAAGAAAACAACAAATGTTTACGATAATATAAGGTGGCGGCTCGTAGGTCAGAACTCGCTCATTAGAGATTAGAATTCAAAATAAGAATTTTTTAGTTATATTTACATCTTACTAACATTATAAACTTCACATTTTAGACGAATGGATGGATGTTTGTTAGAAGGTATCCCCGGAACGGCCTAACGAATCTTGATGAAAATCGGCATAGATGTAAAACTTAGTTTTTAATATTTACATTTTTAAATCCTGGCATTTAAGGACAAGCCGCCACTAATGACATGTGAACCTTTGTTTTTTTTTTAATTATACGCATAAAATATATAAAATGCAATTGTTTGCATGTCAATGAGATTTAAGACAAGAAGATATGTCAGAAGCAATTTATAAAGCAGATGTTTTTTCCTCGCTCGTATTTAAAATAAAAAAGTCACGTGTAAGACGCAACATTTAAACAATGAACATTTTATTTAAATTTGTATTATATTTGACGTCAATTTAATATTTAACGCTATATATATTTTTTTTTGTTAAATTACGTCGTGATGGAAACGTAAAAAGTAATTAATTATATACTTATCTATTTAAACCATGTAAATATATCTTCTTTATATACTTGTATAATTAAAATAATTACATATTAATTACAAAGTTATCGTTTTTGTAACAAATAAGTTTTATTGCCTGTTAGAATTTTTAAGAATAATAATAGACAACTGACATTCATTATTATTGTTTTTGTAAATTACATAAAAGTTATAATTAATTTATTTGGTTTAATTAATTATGTTAAATTTATAATAATATAAATCCTTAATTATCATTACAACATTAAAATTGTTTTGGATAATCTTACTAATTTTGTAAAAGATAATATTTGTCTTACTAATATTATAAATGCGAATGTTTGGATGGATGTTTGTTTGAAGGTATCTCGATGACGGTTTTAATCGCTGAAATTTGGCAAAGATGTAGTCTGAAAGAACACATAGGCTACTAATTAAGTGTTTTAAAAACCGCACGGACGGAGTCTCGAGCGACAGCTAGTGTATAACCTAAATCGATTAATGCTTTCACAGTAGACAACTTAAATATGTGTATTATTTTTATATTATTTCCTTCATAAATTGACAAAGCTCGACAAAAGCACGATTTGCCAAAAGAAACGAAAGTATTAGGTATCAAAAATTTCTCAACTTTATTATTTTTTCCGGACGACCCGCACACCTGGCAACCCCAAGTTCAATCGGTCTTTAGTAAGCCGTGAGTATATTTTAACAGTTTTAAACACGTGATAGTATGATAGCGACGTCACAGAATGTGGTATTCCTGCAAAGTATCGCGCTGTCACAAATAATGGTAAGCAAATACAAGAAGTGTGCAGTGCGACCTTGTTGCAGACCGCATTGCTTTTCCATAACTACGACACTCGGGAAAAAATTAAACATTACACGTTGGTATAGTAACCAACGTGTAACGTTTGAGTTAGTATTTCGGGCAGAACAATTCAATTGTTCCTGACGTGGTTTTACTAATGTTTTTTTTTAAATTCGAAAACCTTACTTACATTATTTATCTACGCCTTACTATGGATGAATTAAGGGTCTAACTACTTCTGCTTTTTCGTTGGAAATATCCCATGACGCAAAATAATTTAATCGTAATAAAATAAACGGTTAATAAACGTTTTTATCTTAACAAAACAGATAACATTATTTGTCAGTTTTTTTAACTGGCATAATGTTTACGTAGATTTGTTTGTGTCTCTATTACAATATTACATTATATGACGGGTTATTTTCTTGTCGTTTGATAAAAATGTGCTTAAAGTTACACTATATTAATATTTACAAGATGTCATTTTTCTTAAATCGAATGAGGTTATAATCGTCTTGATCAAAAAAAAAGATTTTATAAGTAATCCTAGTGCCATTTGATTTTTTATTTATATAAACAAATTTGAATTCAAGTATTTTAAGTCAGCCGACAATTTGTTATAGTGATCCTGTCAGCATTTTACGGCAAAGTAGTTTTTTCGTTTTAAGCCATAATTTATTTCAGGCGCTAAATTATTTCAATTGAGCTCTACGGGACTGACATTGTAGTTTTTCAATTCGATGCGATGAATAAATAGAGCTATTTAGTTATCACAAGTACTAGTTATTTCACGATTTAAAGTTCTTAAGTGTCATAAAAAATAACAGAAAGTGTAAAAAGTCTTACTAAAACTTTTCGATCTGTAGGTTTCTTTTGGATGTTTCCATGTCTGTACCAGTTTTTGGTGCATTATTTACTTTCATTCATTTGACTTTTGTTGAGTATCTCTCAAATACTTTGAATGCATTGCATACATCGTAAATCTAGAAACAAAAACTTTGGCTTATTTAAATAAAGATAAAATAATTTCTGTAAATATTTTGCTTGTAAAAAATACGTAATCGAGTACACAATTTTCTCTTTATCATCATTTCTCTTATTCCACTTATGTGAGATCAGACTGTCAAAAGTCATTGTAGCAAAGTTTCATGAAATTCTACTACGTGTTTAAATTTCGTTTAAGGGACAAACATATAAAAATTAAAACTTTACATAGCAGTGGGTCTACTGCTAGTGCTGTTTAGCCCTTTTAAAATATAGTAAACATGATATGATATTTCTCGGACTATTTAAACATTATTTGACGTCATAGAAATAGAAACTGTCTGAATAGTAAAATGGCACATGGTATCTTATCAGAGGCGATGTTTTTCTTTGCGTAGTTAAATATTGTTTGTCTATTGTTTGTTACTGCAGCTACACGCGCCACTCTCCACCACCACTCTATGACACAGTAAACCATAGATACGACTTTGATTACTCTATATTCCAGAGCAAATATTAGACTTAACAACTTTAATTCAGTTTATTTCGGATAAAACCTATTTTATATTATTTTCTGTAGCTCTTTAAAATAAGTAAAACTCTATGAAGGTCAGCTTAGCTGTGAAAATGAAACAAAGAGACATATTTAAATTGCATTTGTAATATTGTAAACAAAACTCAATGTTAATCGATAAAGCGAAGATAAAATGGTGGTTTTAATTTTTACTAATATGAGTTGCAGAACAAATAGCAGCGCCACCCAGTTACAACAAAGGAAAAGTATTTGTAACTTTTTTAATTTTAAAATAATATCAAAAATAAACGTAATTACAACAAATTGTCACATTATATAAATAAAAATAAGAATGAATTAAATCAAATGCACAAGCAAAAAGCACAATTACATTTTAATTATAAACTAATTGGTATATTTTAATAAAAAAATGCTACTATATACTTGCAGTATGACGTCATAGATTGCGACTTTTCACCGCACGCCACTGTTCAGCAAGAATTGCACACACGAGCCAATGTGATATCCTATCACTTAATTGTGATAAGCAATCCATTATCAGTGTTGTCTCACCGATGTTTATAAATTATCATATCGACGATGTTAACTGCAATTTACTGTACATTAATGAACCTATATATTACGTATATATTGCAGAATAAAAGATTTATTACTACATAGCATTTAATTCTTGACTCAGTTTAGTTATTTTTTTAAGATTAATGTTCTAAGTCTCTGATATCCCTTCCCTTAACTTATGTATGTCCCGTATAACCAAGGGTGTTAATGGGGATGTGGAATGTACGTATTAGGGAGGAACACTAGTTGTGGTATAGCCTGGATGTATTTGGTTGCCTTCAAAAGAGAGAAGACAAACTTATAATACTAAATTTAAACTTTGTTTTTTTTTCTACAAAGAGAAAAGCAGTGGCAACTCACAGTTCATCTGTGTCGCTGCGTTGTATTGAAACATTTTTAAATTGGCATGGCTACTGTATATTAAATCTATTTAAAATTCAAGATGAAAATAAACGTCGTTTTATTAAGTGCCAGAAAATACTAATGTATCTAGAAATCTATATCTAGATCTTGG